AATAACTTTTGAGTCTATCTTTATCCTTTTTTACACTACCACAGAAGTAACAGTCTTAAAAAAATTTGCTTTGAAGAACTCTTCTTAAAACACAGGTAAAAATTAGTAAAAAAAACTTCACAGGGTTAAAAAAGATCAAGTGTCAGCCTTTCCTTGAAATAGTGAAGAATTCCTTTGTGTTTTTAATTGTAAAAGTGTCAGAAACCTACAAGGAAAGGCTGACACTTGATCTTTTTTAACCTTGTGAAGTTTTTTTTTTACCAATTTTTACCTGTGTTTTAAGAAGAGTTCTTCAAAGCAAATTTTTTTAAGACTGTTACTTCTGTGGTAGTGTAAAAAAGGATAAAGATAGACTCAAAACTTATTTTGACTTTTTGTAAATAGTCTAAACTTCGAATTATGAAGAAATAAATCCTGAGTTATTACAAAAATTGTAAAAAAAAAACTCGACGAACGATAATATGTGATATATATCGTCATCGTCTCCCTTGCCGTTTGGATTGCCGAGCGGTAACAATCAACGACATGTGGAAGCAGTTGAGTCAGAGATAGATGCTTCGTTTACAAACAACACAACCGTTTATTAAACACGAAAGAAGCTTACAAGATTTCCGCGATCTTGGAAGTTCTGCGGCGGCTGCGGCCTCTGGGTCTTCCTCTCCTTTCCAAGATAGTCCCATTTTGAAGGAGTGTCCCTTGTTCGCGAATGAACCATTCCATCACGTCTCGATGACTCCGGGACAATGCGGTCGACTTCCGTTGATGGAAAGATGTCGATCCGAAGTCGGGAGATGGAGACGAAGATGGGTGCGAGACACACACAACAACAGATCCGTCACTTTGAATTTTCGGGAGAAGAAGCCGTCGCGTCCTTGAATTTCTGGGGTTTTATCCGTTTTCTCTCAGATTCCCCTTTCCGATTGGTCTCTCCTCGTCACCTGATGACAATTCGAAACCTTTCGGGGGCGCAGGAGAGGTCAAAATCGAAGTTTAATTCGATCTCCAACCGGAAATGATCGACGGATTTGCATTCTTTTATTGTTTTAAAGTTAGCGTCGCGTTTTCATATAAAAAATCTATTTCTAACTACTATATATTTTTTCTCTAAAACAATTATTTTAACGCAAATTTTAGTGAGGGTTCGGACCCGTCCAGAGCCTCACAGAGCTCCCCGCCACTTTAAAATGTTGTAACGGAATAACGACATTATAGCTGGCAGCTCTGGAAGGTGTCAGTCTCTTCTCCCTTTGTTTGCCAAGTGAGATAACAGTGACACTTGCCTGAGAATCTATTTTTCTCTGGTTCGCGTTCGGTTTCGCGTTACAATGTTTTTTTCTCGATACATTATTTCAGAGGTATAGAAATTGTTTACAATTCATCGAAATGTTTGCGTAACTTCACATGTCTGTTTATAAGATTGATTACAAACACTCAAATAACAATCACGTTCATCAAATAACATTTTAACAACTTAAAAGCTTGACAAAATTTTCTAAAACTTTTTTCTCGTTTTTAGACTGAGCAATTCACATAATTCGTATATAATTCACAAAATTCTATTAAAGCCTAAAAGAGGGACAACCTTTTATCTGTCACACTTAGGGTGCGTTTACTTCTGAATTAGCAGTGCTAATTCTGATAACCGGATGTGACGTCATTAGCACGTGTATACGTGCTTGCTTGTCCAATTCGAAAGTGAACACATACGCTAACAAGAAATATGGCTGGAAACCGCCATATTTCTTGTTAGCGTATGTGTTCACTTTCGAATTGGACAAGCAAGCACGAATACACGTGCTAATGACGTCACATCCGGTTATCAGAATTAGCACTGCTAACTCAGAAGTAAACGCACCCTAA